GGGAGGGGTGGAAATGGGAAAGATCTGGTGTGAAAAAAAGTGTGTAAGAACTTTTTAAGTGATTTTGAACACTTCTTCATGTGTTTGTTCGCCATCTGAATGTCTTCTTTAGTGAAGTGTCTGGTCAAATCCTGTGCCCATTCTGCAATGGGGTTGTTTACCTTTATCTTCTTGTGGTGCTCGAGCATTCTATAAATTCTAGATGTAAGTCCTTTATCAGACATGTATTTACCAAGTATTTTTTCCCCCCGGTCTGTGGCTTTCCTTTTTACCCTGTTGAAGAAGTTTTTGGACATGTATAGGTATTTGATTCTTAGAAGGTCCCATTCATCTATTTTATCCTCCTCTGGTTGTAGGTTTTTCAGGATGCTTAGAAGACCATTCATGTTGTGGATTAGGGCTTCTCGAGTTCTTCCAAGCTTTTATCTAAAGAAAGTTATAGTCCTTGGTCCAAATCAAAACAACTACGAGATATCATTTCACCCCAGTAAGAATAGCAAAATTCAACAAAGTAGCAACCAACAAATGCTGGTGAGATTGCGGAGAAACTGGAACCCTTATTCCTTGTTGGTGTGAGTGTAAAATGGTGCAACCATTATGGAAAGCAGTATGGTACTTTCTCAAAAAGTTGGAAATAGAAATACTATTTGACCCAGCAATTCCAATACTGGGAATATACCATAAAGAAACCACAACTGCTACCCAAGCAGATACATGCACATCCATGTTTATTGCTGCTTTGTTCACAACAGCAAAGAGTTGGAAACAAACGAATGGACAGAAATGCTGTGGTATATTCACACAATGGAATACTATGTAGCATTGAAAAACAAGGAACTCATGAAATATTATACAAAATGGGTGACCCTGGAGGACATTATGCTGAGTGAAATATCTCAGCCACATAAGGACAAATACTGCATAGTATAACTGTTGTAAAGCATGACTGATGCTGGGGTTGGGGTGAACCTAAGAAAAGAGGGGATAAATACTGCATTGAAACAGAGGGAGAGAACTGTTTAAAAGTAATATATGATTAGCTATTATTTTCATGACAAGAGTCCAGAATGAGAGCTGCATAGTAAAGTGGATTGGTAGTGGAGGGATTGTATATCAATGAAAGAATGGTGGGGTTTTTTTTCCTTTCAAAGAGAAAAGCGAACTTGGGGGGAGGGGTGGGTAGGGAAGAAAATGTGCAACAATGGATGAATGGAAATCCAGTCTCTGTAAACTTTCATTAATTTCAATTAAAAGAAAACTTTGTAATTAAACCAGTATAAAAGAAAAAGTTTATATTTAAAAAAAGGAATTTGGCTACTCTTATATATGTGCTTATCTTTTATTCTTAAGAGTTATCTTTCTTTCTTATCAGCCAGTCACTCATCATTCCAATCCTGTTAGAGTTAATAATTGTTTATATTGAACTTTCCTCTCAGGAGATGGAAATAAGAAAGTAAGTGCCTGGTATTCTTCCCTTTCTTTCTCACATACCTGGAATCACGCATATCCTATGCAGTATTCAAGCTAGGTCTTATTATAAGAATTCCCAAGTTTTATAACTAAGCAAAAAGAAAAACACTGCTTTCAAGTCAATTCCAATTCATAGCAGCCCTCAATGACAAAATACAATTCCCGTATAGGATTTCCAAGACTGTACATTTTAACAGGAAGAGAATACTTCTCCTTTTCTCCAAACTGGCTGATGAGTTAAAAGCTTTGACTTTCTGGTTATCAGCTAAGCACTTAATCACTGCAATTTTAACAGGCTCTTTCAGATTGGAAGCTTCAGCATATATGGAGTTGCTTCCCTAGCCCTATGACTGCACATCTCTGGTGGTGCAAGCTGACCAGCAGCTAGAAGGGAGAAAGATGGGTACTCTCCCACCATTGTGACTTACAAGCCCCCAAAACCCAACGGAGGCTCGCTATGAGTTGGAACTGACTTGATGGCAGTAAGTAAGCAAGTGAACAATATATTTCATAATGCCTCTCTCACTGTTTAAGTATAATTCATTTCTCATAATTAACTTCACATTTGCAATGTATTTGTCTAGTATTTCGGCTAAATAAGAATTATTCATTACACAGGGATTATATAAGCTATATGCAACAAAAGCATAAAAACCAAAACCAAAAAAAAGAACCCAACCAAAAAACCATTCTGCTAACTGCATCTTTAAGCAGTTCAATAGATTTTCTAAAGTTTAGTTAAAATATCAAATGGGTTAAATAATCTAAGCTGTAATATATTTAAGCCAGTTTACTTTTTGCCCTGGGCATATCTTCTGCAAAAGACCTCTTTAAAAGTGTTAAAAAAGCAAAGATGCTATTTTGAGGCCTAAGGTGTACCTAACTTAAACCATGGTATTTTCAACTGCCTCATGCACATGAAAGCTACATTATGAATAAGGAAGATGGAAGAAGAACTGATGGTTTTGAATTATGGCGCTAGTAAAGAATATGGACACACAGTGGCCGGTCAGAAGAAGAAACAAATCTGTTTTGGAGGAAGTACTCTTAGAATATTCCTTAGAAGAGAAAATGGCAAGAATTCTTCTCACATATTAGAGACATGTTATCAGGATGGACCAGTTCCTGGGGAAGGATATCATGTTTGGTAAGGTAGAGGGATCAGTGAAAAAGAGGAAGACCAGGGATGGACTGATATAGTAGTGGATATAGCAGCCTCAACATAGTAATGTGTGGAATGATGGCATGAAACTGGACAAAGTTTCCGTCTGTAGGCATGGTTGCTATGAGTTAGACCCAACTCAAGAGTACCTCTTTGAGTGGTGCAAACTGTTAAGAGATTAATTATTAGGGTTACTTTACAGTTTCCATGCTATTTGGTAGGATTTGCTTATTTTTTAGGTCTGGGAACATGCAAAAATTTTTCCCAAGAAAATCAATGGAAATGTTAACTTTATGCCATTTTGGCTTACAAAAGGATTCACTGGAAAGAATGTTCTACTTTTGGATATGAGGAAATAAACCTGTATTTAGGAGTCATGAGGACAAAACAAAAGGATAAAATATCCTTTGAGGTTTTCAATTTCATTTCACAGAGTTGTGTGTATATGTGTGTTTCCATTTATTGAAAATCACCTACTGATATAATTGAATAGAAGAATATATTTTTTAAGTGTAAGCAGAACATAATCCATTCTACAGTAAAAACTAAATTCTAAGTGTAGATAAACTGATAGGATTAAAGTAATTTATATTTATTTACTAGTTTTTCAGTACTGATTATTAAATTGATCAGAAAACTTTGTCTTTATATAAGTTTAAAATCTTAAAAAGTTTGAATTTTATAATTTTTCTCTTTATCAACATAATATATATATTATACATATACACACACAACACACACACATAAATGCACCAATTATGAACTTTCTAACAGATAAGGCAATGAGGACTACTATGAATTGGAACTGTCGCAAAGACAATGATTCTTCTTTATTCTTAGCTGTAATACTATGGAATTGATGGTATACCTAGTGACATGAGCTTCAATATATAGATGCAGCCTTGGATGTGTTCATCAGGCTGTACCAAGACATTTGGAAGACAACTCCCTGGCCAAAGGACTGCAAGAAATCCTTATCCGTTTCCATTCCCAAAAGAGGTGATCCAACAGAATGTGGAAATTATAGAACAGTAATGTTAATATATACAAGTAAAATCTTGCTGAAGATTGCTTTAAAAATGGCTAGATCAGTATATTGAAAGAATTGGTGGAAATTCAAGCTGGGTTCAAAAGCAATGGCATCTTGGCTAAAGGCAGAGAATGCCAGAAAGATGTACACTTGTGTTTTACTGACTATGCACAGGTATTTGACCAAGTAGATCACAACAAATTATGGCAAATACTGAGAAGAATAGAATCCCAGAACACTTAACTGTGCTCATACAAAACCTGTATCTAGACGAAGAAGCTATTATCCTAACAGAGCAAGGAAACACTCATGGTTAAAAAATCAAGAAAGGTATGTATCAGGGCTATATCATTTCCCATTCCCTATCCAATCTGTATGCTGAGCAAATCATTCAAGAATATGGACTCTATAAAAATGTGGCATCAGGATTAGAAGAACACTCATCAACAACCTACTTTAAACAGGTATCACAACCTTGCTTGAAGAAACTGAAGAGGACATAAAACATTGCAGCACATCAACCCTTCAATATGGGTTACCTCTCAACATTAAGATAACAAAAATCTTCACTACTGGGCCAACAGGCAACATTATGAGAAATGGGGAAAAGACTGAAGTTGTCAATCAGCACCTTTGATATCGAAAGTCAAGAAATCAATAGACGTGCTGCAATGTAAATATCTGCTGTCAAGACTCTCTAAGGTGTTAAGGGGCAAAAATGTCAGTTTAAAGACTAAGTTGTGCTTCATCTTTTCAATTACTTGCTATACATGTGGAAGTTGGACAATGACTAAGGATGAAAGAAGAACTGAAGCATTTTTTGAGTTATGGTGTTAGAGAAGTGATGAATGTTCCATGGACTGCCAAAAAAATACACAAACAACAAATAAATTTTGTCTTGGACAAAGTACAATCAAGGATATCCTTAGAGACAAGGACAGGTAAACTTTGTCTCACTTTGAGCATGTACTTTAGAGGCACCAGTTCTTGGAAAAAGTTATCATGCTTAGAAAGGTAGAAGGTCAGAGAAAAAGAGTTAGACACTCAGCAAGATAGATTGACACACTGACTAGCACAATGGGCTCCAGTATATCGGAGATGGTGACGATAGTATAGCATAGGGCAAGGTTCAGATCTATCATTAATTGGGTTGACATCAAGTCAATAGCACTTAATGACGATACATATATAAAGCATATTAATCTCTGATAGCCCATCGATAAAGAGTTGTGCTACCAACCCAAAAACAGTCAGTTCAAATCTATCAGCTACTCTATATTTTTAATATACACATGCACGCACATTTACACATACATAATGCACCAGATGTATAAATACCTCCATAGCCTGGGCTAAGCGTTCTTCTAACGCCATGTAGGTAAGGAACTGAGGATCCACATAAGAAATAGCTTCGGCAACTCCTAGTCCATCTGCAAATCCATCAAACAGACTGGGAAAAAAAACCAAAAAAAAAACCCAACACAACAATGATTTGAGAAATCTTTATGGTCAGCACATAAGTACATTATCATGGTATTGCCAGTAAACATCTGCAACAGGAAGTATGAAATTGTGAATAGGAATCCTGAGGAGTGAGGGGAGGGGGCAGAATGACAGGTTGTAAAAAGATTGTGAGACACACTACAAAGTCTTGGAAAATTTTCATTTTCTACTTCTAGCTCTACCACTACAAATTGCTTAAGACTCATACATTTCACATCTTTATTTTCGTTGGCAACTAGAATTCTGATCTTATGAAAGGTTTATTGCACTTATTTTAACTGAGACATTAATTAAAGCCAATTTTTCTTCTCTCACCTTGTGTTGTTTAATTAGACTTTAAAAGAATGTCTTTTCTAAATGCTTTTCTCATTAATTTCTTATTCTTAAAAGAATTAGGATTTTTCCATTATTACTAAATTTGAAAAACATATAACTCCTATATGCTCATTCTAACTACATTTTTCCCAAAGGAAAATCTATTATGCCTTAATACTGTCCTAATCTTTTTCTGCCCTAAATATAACATGTCATTTTCCAGTAATCTTGGATTATTTAAAACTTTAATGTGTTTTCTGTTCTCTCTAATCTTGTCCCCTTAGACATTACATTCAAGCCTCTTTTTTCAATAAATTTGTTTGCATACCTATAATAATCTATCTAATTCCAAACTATTCTTAAACTCTTGCCTACTTTTCTAATTGTGTGTGTGGACTCTTGTACGGACATTCCTCAAATTCAAGGTTCTTGAACTTACTTCCCTAGTTAAAAATAAACATCTGCTGGCTTCCATATTGCTATCAGTTTTACTATCATACTCAGAAACATCTACAAGTACACAAGCAAGCTAAAGTGTAATATCATCATGGAAAGTACAAACCTATTGTGCTCTGCATCTGACAGCGGGACAATGAATAAGGATGACAGAGAAGATCTGACGCCTTTGATCTGTGGTGTTGGAGAAGAGCACTGAACATCCCATGAATGGCCAAGAGAACAAATAGGTGTCTTGGAGAGGGTGCAACCAGAGTACTCTTTGGAGCAGGACTGATGAGTTTCGCCTCACATACTTCGGCCATGTTGCTAGGAGGGGCTACTTCTTGGAGAGGGACATGATGCTAAGAAGGGTGTAGCTTCAGTGAAGGAGCGGAAGACCCTCAACCAGGTGGACTGACAGGGTGACTGTCGCAATGGGCTTTTGTGTGTCAGGAGGTGTAAGGATGGCACAAGACAGAACAGAGTTCAGCTCTTTTGTTCATGTGGTCACTATTTGTCTTACTCAACTCAATGGCTCCTAACAACAACACTGTATAAGAAAAGATTCTTACAAAGACTATTACTGCTGCAATTCAACTCAATTCTGTCAAGCTGAAATGAATGCACAGCGGATCTTCCAGTAAGCTTTCAGGAGGCTGTAAATCACATGTGAGGAGACTGCTAATCTCCCTCCTGCAGAGCCACTGGTGGATATGACTGTCAGAGGTGCCAGCTGAGCATTAGGAATGCTGCTCCTTATAGACTAGAACTCCATTTACAGACCAGAACTCCATTTCTTTAGAGCTGAGAGTTATCTCTGTGGACTTATAGAACTTAATGTTTCCAAGGTCCCTTTTTTGTCAGTTTTTGTGCTTTTAGCTACTTGTTTATGCTTCTCTAATTTGACTGAGACACTAAAACCAACAGTTTCTTGAGAATCTCTTTACTATCTTCCCTTCTTGTTCCCTTTTGAAGTCTTCTCACTCTATTATTCAAGGTCTAAAGATTGGTAATTTAAATCTACCAACCAATTTGAGGGAGGAAGAAAGTTTCTTCACATAAAGATTAACAACCACAGAAACCTGGTGAAGGGTTGCCATGATTTTGGCTTGGTTCTGCTTTGACTGCTACATACTGGGAGGAAATTATTATTTCATATAAGGCAGATTCAAATAGGAGGGTACATTAATAAAAATTTATTTACACATAGAAGAAAGCAAGAGCACTAACAGATGTCATTTTGCCCCCAGGGGAAAGAAGAATAAATATCCTTTTTTAAGAGTTTGTTGCTTCTGTTATTTTGGCTGTATGCTTGAAAGAAAAATCTAATTCATGAACTAAAACAGTTAAATGTGAGGGAGCATTGTATCATGTTAAGTAACAATTTCAAAACCCACTGCATTTACATGCCTTTATTTTACTTTTTAATTTTTATTTTATTATATCTTTTGTGTGTGTACTGTCAAATTGGATCTTCCTGGTACAGGAGGAGATTGCCCCTCCTTCTCCAGCAGAGCATCTGGTATTACATGCTTTTATACAGAGTTCACTTAAATACTAACTAAAAGGTTATCAGTTTAAATTCATTGCCACTTCACAAGATAAAAAAGTGGTAGTCTACTTTTGAAAATATTTATAACCTGAGAAACATTATATGGTAGTTCTACTCTGTTGTACAGGGTTGCCATAAGTTGCAACTTTATGGCAAAGAAGTTTAGATTCATTTTCAGCATAAAGTAAATTTAATACTCTCAACATCTCTGAGAAGTAAAAAAGTATACCTTTTATATAGAGAAGAAAAAGAAGAATAATAAAGGTAAACTGAATCCTTATGATTCCTCTGAAAGGATGAATTTGCTGACTAGAAGAAGCAGTAAATACTCTAGGAAGTCACACAAGAAATGTGTTATAAAGAATAGGATGGGAAAATCAGATTATTCCTTAATTTACCATCAATTTTCCTAACTTAGCATCATAAACGAATTATACTCAGTTAACAATTAGGCATGAAAAGTAGTATTGAGCTACATACCTCCAGTCCACATCCAAGTCTTCACTTACACTGGAGTCATCCTCAAGGTTATTGTTACCATCCAACATGAAAGCTTCTGGTTGTGCAAATTCATTGGCAGGCTCATTTCCCTCATCACTGCTGCTTTCATTGACTTCGTTGTACTGTAACCAAGGAATTTCTCCCTCTTCCAGGGATGTGTGTTCTCTAAAACAGAAATTTCAAATGAATAAATGTTATTTTAAAAACAGATTATAAAAAGTGCTCTTTAAGCAAATTCCATTTAGTGTATAAGTCGATGCTCCTGGTGCTTTTATCATTTTAAAATAGTTTTTCTTAATTGTAAGATTATTTGAAAAAGAAAGACCAATTCTGAAACATAAAACTTTTTCAATTACAAACTTCCCAGTTTACAATAAATTGAATAAAAAGTACTTTATGAACCCATAAATAAGAACATTTTTCTGGTAAGATATTGTTATTCATATTCTTAAACAGAACATGTCTTTTACTTTACCAAAAGAAATGTATTAAAGCAAAATCTTCAGGTATACCTGAATTTCATTTAAGAAAAGAATGTTATATAAAAATTATGTATTTAAATTTTAAAGAACAGCCTTAGGATTTTATTTACATTTAGAACAAACCTAATTTGGAAAATGAGTCTAAAATCACCTTTTTTATGAGAGATATATACCACATCCACATGTTATAAACAGCTTTATCTCTATAGATTTAATCCCATAAATGTTCCTTAAGTAATTTAAGAACTGAAATTACAAAATAATAGGTTTGGAAGATGCTTAGTTTTTCACCAATACTTGTGGTGTATTTTGTACTTCTTCCTTTAAAAGCATCTTTTTGCACATACATATAGCATCTCCTGAATATATTGAACACAGCACATGTAAAAAGGTAAAAGAAATTAAAGCAGGGACACCTTTATTCTGATGGTTTAGGTTGACTGGGGTAGAATTTAGGCTCTATTTATGGTTTGCTGTAGTGAGTTTAAAATTTCCTCAATCATTTCTTCTTCTATCTTTGTTAGGTGCTTTCCAGTCAACTGTACCTCATAGCAACCCTGTGCAAAAGAAGTGATTCTTAACCTATCCTGAGCAATCTCACTGTCTCTGTCACACCTCCATTACCTCACTTACTGTGCTAATCTAGTTCATCTTGGGTCTCCCTTTCCTGTGCTGCCCCTCCATCCTTCTCTAAGGACTGTCCCTCCCAGCAACATGCTCAAAGTAAGTGAAATAGAGCTTTAAAATCCTTGATTTTCACCCTCTCCAAGACAGACATGTTTGTTCTCTTAGCAGTCCAAGGTATATTCAGTACTCTTCTCCAGCATCACAACTCAAAGGCATCAGTTCTCTTCTATCATCCCAAGTTACTGTCCAGATATTGAGGGATAGGGTGCACTGTAAGTCTCCAAACTGACACTCTTGCTCTTCAGCACTCTGAAGAGGTCTCTGGCAGCAGATTTTCCTAATGCACTTCATCTTTTGATTTATGGTGCCAAAAAAACTGATTGTGGACCCAACAACTTCAATCTCTTTATCATCTATCATGGTGCTGCCAATCGCCTAGTGATGAGAGTATCTTTTCTTGATACTGAGCTTCAATCCATATTGAAGACTGCAGTCCTTGACCTTCTGCAGGAAATGCTTCAAATCCTCTTCAGTTTTGGCAAACAAGGTTGTTTCATCTGCATAACGCAGGCTCTTCATGAGTTTTCCTCCAATTCTGATGCCACATTCCTCCTCATGCATTTTAGTCACCTGAATGATCTGTTCACAGAGACTGAAAATGTATGGAGGAAGGATGCAATCCTAATGTACTTCTTTCCTGATTTTGAATCATGCAGTGTCTCTTTACCCTGTTCTGATGAGTGCTTTCTAGTCCAAATAAAGGTTTTGTAGGAGCACAATCTGCTGTCCTGGAATTCCCATTCTTCTTCATATTAGCCACAATTAAATTGTAATCCACACAGTCAAATGTCTTTGAATATTCAACAAAACAGACATTCCTTTCATACTCTCTGCTTTCAGCCTAGATCTACCTGAAATTGGCTCTGATGTCATTAGTGCCATGACCTCTTCTAAACCCAGCCTGTACTTCTGGCAGTTCTCTATGTACTGTTATAGTTGTTTTTGGATAATCTCCAGCAGGATTTTGCTTGTGTGAGCTAGTGATTTTGTTCAAGAATTTCTACACTCTGTTGGATCACATTTTTTTAGAATGGGAATAGATAAAGATCTCTTCTACTCAGTTGCCAGGTAGTTGTCCTCCAGATTCCCTGAGACAACCTGGTGAACATGTCCAGGGCAGCAAGTGTTGAAATGTATCAAGTGGTATTCCATCAATTTCAGGGTCCTGTTTTTTGACAAGTCAACCAAAACAGCTTGAACTTCCTCCTTCACTACCTGTTGATCATAGGTTGTTTCCTGAAATTATTCTGTGTCAGCCAATTCTTTTTGGTACAGTGACTCTGGGTAAACTATCCATCTTCTTTTGATACTTTCTGATCACTGAATATTCTGCTCATAGCATCATTAAGTAATGTCACTGTTGTTGTTGTTAAGTGTCGTAGAGTTGTCGGCTCATAAAAGGCCTGAGCACTGTGCATACATACAGTTTCCGGAGGCAAGCCATTTCGGAAGTGGATGCCCCTCCTGCTTCCAGGTTAGTACTGTCACTAGGGGCTTGAACTTGTTCTTCAGTTCCTTCAGCTTGAGAAATGCTGAGAGTTTATCACTTTTTAATTTCTAACTCCAGCTCTTCATATATTTCATTATAATATTTTGCTTTGTCTTCCTAAGGTACCCTTTGAAATCTTCTGTTCAGCTTTTTAACTTATTTCTTTCCTTTTCTTTGGCTTCTTAGAATTCCAGTGCAATATTCAGAGTCTCTTGTGACACACATCTTGACCTTTTCTTCTTCTGTCTTTGTTAGGTCCTTTTGTATTCTCCCTGGATGATATTCTTGATATTTTCCCACAGTTTTGTTGTTATTCTTTACAATAGAGTAGGAATCGACCCATAGCTGACCCTCCTGCAAGTTTGCAGAGGCAGTTAATCACACAGGAGGAGATTGCCTATCCTTTTCCTGTAGAGCAGCTGGTGGCTTCCAACTGCGTGCCCTGGGGATTTCAGCACAGCTTCTTATCACCAGGCCACCAGAGCTCCTGGTATCATATCATTTGTGGTCAAGGAGGGCTTAAAACCTATTCCTGAGATGGTTTTTAAATTCAGGTGGGATAGACTCAAAGTCAAATTTTGGTTCTTGCGGATTTGTTTTAATTTTCTTTAGCTTCAATGTGTATTTGCACATGAGTAGCTGATGGTCTGTTCTGCAATCAGCACCTGATGCAGCTTTTTCACAGCTGATATTAGCTTCTCCAATGATTTTTTTTCCACAGATGTAATCAAGCTGATTCCTGTGTACCATCAGGTGACATCTATGTATATAGTTGCTGTCTGTGTTTCTTATAATAGATATTTGCAATGAACAGATTATTTCTTAAATCAAAACTCAAACTGAATGCTGTGAAGCCAGAACCAACTTATAGCTGGTCTGCCAGCAAGTCCCAGGAGTTTGTAAATAATACAAGCGGAGATTACTCATTGTTCTCCCAAGTAGTCACTGGTGGATTTGAACCACCAGAGAGGAGTCACTTTTGGGTTAGTAGCACAATTCTCCCCAAACTACACCACCAGAGCATTCTGCCCTTTTTAAATAGAGCACTCAAGTGTGTGGACAAGAAATGATGAATATTGTAAAAAAGTATGAATTCCAAAACATTTACTTATGCTGATGTTGAACTTCTACGTAGACCCAGAAATAATTATTCAAATAGAACACAGAGATACTGTGTGCCACTTATTAAGTTTCAACTCATAATGACCTCCTCGTATTCACAAAACTGACAGGTAAATCCAATTATACTTTATCAATTCAAAATTTTAAAGCACTGGCAAAACAACTACAAACAAACCAAGAAAAATAACCAAACAACACACCCCACAACAAAATATAAAATAAGCTTCCAGAAACATAAGCCTCTAAGAATTGGTACAAATTGAGATGTTTGAACCAAAGAATGCAACACTAAAGTTGGAAGACAGCCTGGCCAACCAATTGGAACAGATCCATATTTGTGCTGCTTGCAAAGAAAGGTGATTAAAAAAAATGTGGATATTATAGCATAACATCATTAATATCACATACAAATAAAATCTTGAAGATAATTTAAAAATGGCTGCAGCAGTACATTGACAGGAAAACAAAGAAATTCAAGTCAGATTAAGAAAAAGGATAACCAGGTAATTTTAGATAAGGAAGTCAGATGATCTAGGCTGTAAGCAGAAGATACAATTATGACTTTTACCTGTGTTTTATTGACTGTGTGGATTATAACCAAAGTATAGATATTTCAAAGAATGGGAATTTCAGAACACATAATTGTGCTCATGCAATTCAGCTTCAATCTACACAGACCAACAGACAGCTGTTTGAATAGAACAAAGGGATACTGCATTGTTTATAATCAGGAAAATTGCGTGTCAAAGTTGCATACTTTCACCACTCTATCTGTACAATGAGCAAATAATCTGAGAAACAGACCATACAAAGATGACGACATCAGGAATTGAGGGAGACTGATTAATAAATCTATACTATACAGATGACATATTTTGCTTTAAGAAAATAACAACTTGACGCACTTACTAATAAAACTTAAAAACTATAGCCTTAAAACAACAAAATGACAGCCTTTAGTATAAATTATACCTCAATATTAAGAAAACAAAAATCTTTGTAATTGGGCCAACAAGTGATAAAGAGAGAATCGATTGAAGCTCTCTATGATTTTATATTACTGATCCCACAATTCACACATATGGAAGGATCAGTCAAGAAATAAAATTACATACTTCACTGGAGAAAATGGCTGCAAAAGATCTTTGTCAAATATTAAAAACCAAAAGAGTTATTTTGGGGGCTAAGGTGTGCCTGACCCAAGTCATGATATTTCCAATTCATATATAAGTGAAAATTGGACAATGAGTAAATGATGTCTTTGAACTATGCTGTTGTTGATTTCCACTGAGTTGAGCACGACTCATAATGAACAAAATACTTGAAAAGACTTTTCTATAACTACTGTCATTTCTAAAAGTTCAGAATTTCCAGAGGAATGCTGT